GAGTCCGCTGCAGACTGACTTGCGTCATTGCAGGCCGACGCCGCCCAGGCAACCAGCAGTTTGCAAAGCATCAAGCTGACAGCGCCCCTCCTTGCAAGAACCCTTGCAGATCCTGAAGGCCGAGCGCCTCGCGCAACTTCAGCAAGTCGACAGGGAGCACCAGGACCCGTGCCCTGCCCCGCTATCAACTTGCATGGAGGGCGCCTGCACGGAGGAGAAGCTCCGGCAATTAGAGGCAGACTTCGCACGCCGCTGCGAAGAGCGCACACAGCAGCTCACGGCGGAGCTCGAAAGGACCGTGGATTTGCTCGTCTCGATTTCTGGTGTAGTATAGTGCAACTCCCCTTTCGGGAGCGTGTGCTGAATTTTGACATACAGGAAGAGTCGAACAGAGGCTGAAAGACAGGCGTGGTGTAGTGCGTCAGACTTTCGCGAATACAGACACGAGTTCTACGCGCGTGAAACACCGGGTGTAAAGGTCGAGGAGAAGACACGGAGCTTTCGCGAGCAGTTGGAGAAGGAGAAGCTTCCTGGCCTCATATATAGTGTTGTGTTCAGGTCCCTGGATAGGTATCCAGGTATCCAACACCTGAACTTAGGCGAGCGCAGCTAGAAAAGGAAGTTCAGGAGAAGCTGCGCCCTTCAACCGCAGCATTCGAGCGAGAAGCGCGGGTCATTCTTGAGAAGGAGGCCGGCTCGAAGCATTCGGGATCACCGAGTTGAGCAGAAGCATCCAATGTGGAAAGCGCAAACTTGGAGGCAGAGGAACGTGTGCGAAGCTCCATCCCGGAGATAGAACGCACGGTGAAGGACCAGCAGCAGAGTTGAAGGCAACAGAACTTGTCGCATAAGTTCCGACTGCGCTGGACCTGGAGATTGCCTCCACCGCGCAGCATGTGTGTCACGTGGCGGTCCGCCGGCCCATTTAGAGTTCCAATCCAGGGCTGCAGAGCCTGTTCATGTGTCGCATCGTCTCATCCACAGTACCCGCGGGGTTGCAGAGTGTTTGTACCTAACTTTCGGGAGTCGTTTTCTGGCGGAACTGAAAGAGTCGCTTGGCTTTAAACAGGTGTATGAAAACTTTTGCTAATTGGAGGAGAAGCTGGAGAAGGACGCGGAAGAGAAGGCCTGCACAAGCTCTGGAGCTCTCACTTTCAGTGCACTTCGAGATGTTGCGATCGTTATCCTGAAATGCTTCACTCTTTCCGGCTTTTTATTCATCGTAGTGTCTCAGTCATCCCTCGCCCTAGAATCCCATGCGCGCCCCACAAGGACCAAGCTTCCCCCAGTCACTCATAAACGCGTAGCTCGGAGCGGTTACAGCGACTTCGGGAGAGCGGGATGCACTTGCCCCAAGTCACGGCACTCCAGGTCAGGGCTTCGCTGCCACAGCTTGAGTCACGCCTTCAACAGGTGCGCATCGTCTTTGTGAGCCTCGGTGCTAGTAACTTTGTCCATTTCAGTCGCGGCCCTTCTCATGGTCCTGCCAGGAGCTGGAAGCAGATGCTCTCCGGCGCCTTTCGGCGGATCGACATCAGATTGCCGCTTGCCTGCAGATGGTCCAAGAGCCCGCCGCTTGCATAGCGGTTTTTCCTGGCTAACGGCCTTGCAGCTGCTGCTTGCCTGTAAAAGCATGAGGAAGAGACAGCAAGGAAGCGGCTTGAGCAGGAAGCCGAAGACAAAGCCAGGACCGGGTCTTGTGAGCTTCATGACTCTTGTCGGGCACGGGCCAGGCCCTGCAGCTTCGCGGGTGTGGAAATTCTTTGTACTTTTCAGCTATTGAGAGGAGAGGTCTCCCCGACATGGCAAGAACCGCGCGAGAGAAGCTTCAAAAGCAGGCGAGATCTGGGCCGGACTTCTCATTCTGCAATGCTGACAGAGGAGCAGCTGGAGTTGCAGGGTCCACAGCTCATAATTCGGTAATTGTCCCTCGTTGAAGCCCCATCACTTGACATCGCACTTGTCAGGTTGACATTTTCACTGAGCGCTCTTATGGTCGTGACAGGCCGATGACACGGCTGCAGCTATCGACAGGGTCGCACTTGAGGCGGAGGCATGGCGAAGCTTTTGGGAAGCGGGTCTACGAGAATTCAGATCATGGTCAAAGCAGAAGCCGCCGGCACAGCACATGAGCGCAGACATTGTAACTCCTTGATGCTTGAAGGCATTAGCTGGGCATCGCGTGTCAACATGGTACCGGGTAGGCTAGGTATGTCAGGACATGGCCTTCCGTTTAGGGATCCTCGTTAAACGAGAGGGCCCCGCTGTTGAGGAGTGTTCGCTGGCACACAATCCAAGCCCATGCTGAAAGAGTTCTGCGGAACCGAGCACTTAGAATCTAGAAATAATGAGACTGAATCCTTGTCTAGTTGCGTTCCAAGCGGCCCGTGGACAATCACAGCTGGATTTGGTTGCGTACTAGTACTATTCCATGATGCACAGAGGCAGCAGCTGACGAACAATGGGGAAACCCGCCTCGGGGGCAGACTTTGCGCTGTACTCGCAAGGACGAAAACCAGAAACTGCCGGTTGTGGTGATGTGATGACGGTACTCTGGCGGTGGCAGATAGTGCCTCAATGTAGCTGCAGCTCTGAAGAGCTTGCTACACACATCATGTTGGTGCGACTTCAGTAGCTCGATCTGTTCGAGGTCGACGAGAAGCTCAAGACCTT